GGAGGGGAAAGGGCAGAATGGTGGCACGGAGAAAGCTGAAACCCAGCAAGGGGTGAGGGGCACAGGCTGAGGGGGCAGCGGAAGCAGAGGGGAAGGCCAAGGCCACAGGGGAGGGGGAGTGGACACGGGAGATCGGTCCTCTCTGGTTCTTGGGGGTAGGGGTGGTGTGGTGGTGTGGTGGTGTGGTGGTGGTGGTGTGCTGGTGTGTGTGCGTGTGCGTGTGCGTGTGTGTGTGTGTGTGTGTGTGTGTGTGCTGGGGGTGGGGGTTTGTAGCACTTCTTGTTCAAGGAACCAGGCCTGGAACCTATGGTCTGTTTTGGCAGCTGGTTTCGACATGGCTCAAGGGCCACCTCACGTGTCTTCCCATCCTTTGTTCTCTGATGTTCTGTGCCGCCTTCGGGTCAGACAGGGGCTCCCTCTTCTCTACCTGCTTAGGGCCCGGAGGGAGATGTGGCAGGGCTTGCCAGGGCTCAGCGAGTGACGAATGAGTGCGGTGGCTGTGCCCTTGCCGGGGAACAGCTTCCCCAAAGGCCTGCGTGCCACCCTTAAGATGAATCTTCTGGCCAGAGCATTCCTACCTCATTTGGGACATTCTGCACCCCTGTGCACCCCCGTGCTTGGCGTCTGGAGGACAGACGTGTGAGAACTTGAGCGCTTGCTCCCACATGGCCGCGGGTGCACCGTGATGCTGCTTATACTGGACCCTGCTTTCCCTTCGAAATGCCGGGACAGCTAGACCTGCCCATCTGAGTGCCAAGGTGTGGACTGGAGGCAAAGATACAAAAATGAAACAAATAAAAGCCAATTCTGGCTCGCAGCGACCTATAGGACAGAGAGAACTGCCCTTGTGGGGTGCTGAGGCTGCACATCTTTATAGGAGCAGAGAGTCTCATCTCCCTCTTGCAGGAGATAAAGATGGACGAAGAAAATTCCTTGAGGACAAGGGGGGATCAAAGACTACAAGAGGACTACAAGAGACCCTAACAGCTACCTACTCTAATGGTTAACTTCATGCCCTAACACCTCCATAAGAGGTCTTAAAGGCTTGTCTTAACAAGCAGCCATCTGAGTGAGGTGTCAGCCAAGTCCACATGGAGAAAGCACACTGGTCTTTGTGATCAAAACATGAAAACTGTAGTTCCTGATCAGAGGAGGGATATTGCATTCGAGCTTAATTTCTGAGCACCCTTTTTGCAGAAGACAATGGCTGACGGTGAAAGCTCCAAATCCACCTGCAGGGTCCCCAGGTGGATCAGGCTCCCGTGGAATTCCTTCTGAACATTCATTAACCAAGGGTGTAGCTGGTGTTGCCCTCGGGCGGAGAGCGTTGGATGGTGGATCATCTGCAGTCCAGGGAGGGGCGTGTCTCTGAGGGGCATGCCTGGGGTGCCCTTGAAGGAGAACAGTCTAGGGGGTGCACAATGATGAGCCCCGGGCTACCAGGAACAGCCTGACCACCTGCGTTGGAGAAGGCCCTGGGCCTACCTGGTAAGCGATTCCACCTAGCATGATGTCCGTGTCCCAATCATGGCCCTGTCCCCACTTCTGTAGTTCCTACCTGTAACTACGATGTCTGATCTGCTCCCAATCAGGAATCTGTGACAGCGTTCTTGGTTCGAGGCCTAATTTAACTAGCCTCCTGGTTCCTCAGATGCCATATGAATGACCTGCTGCTCCTGGCCTCCCTTGTCTAGAAGAAGGGGCCGAGTCTTCGTGTTGTCTTTGTCCCTTTTATGACTGAATAAGTGTTCTCCTTAAAATGTAAAACAAAACTACAACAACAAAACACCCCCAGAAGCGATTCCAGGGGAAGGCCTTTAAGCCACGGAAGTTCCTATTATTGTTATTGTGAACACACACAGGAAGGGCCAGCGGAGCACCCTTCACGCAGTTGAATGGCGTGCATCACAAAGAGGCGGACTGAGGCCTCGTGTGCAAACTTTCCTGGCCCCTTTGCTGACTTTCGCCAAGTCACAGGTAAATGGAACCCCAGCAGGCCTCATGCACATGCCCGTACTCACCAGGTCACAGGGGCTCGCGTGTAAGCCCTCCTGTGACACTCGACTGCCTGTGCCTTCATCTGCTCGTGCCTCTGCTCGGCTGAGCACTTTCTCCTGTGGGGACCAGCTGGAGCCAGCTGTGCACAACCGCAGGGACCAGAGGGGAAGCTGCTTTGATAGTTCAAGGGAGAGCTGACCGCTCCCTGTTGCTATCAAGTCGGTTCAGGCTCCAGGTGAGCCCGTGTACTACAAAGAAGTGGCTCCTGAGGTTTCCTGGGCTATAATCTTCATGCAGCACATCAGCGAGCCTGTCTGTGGTGGTGTCTTGGGCAGGTTTGAACTGCCAACCTTCAGTGGCCATCCAGAGAGCTGAAAGCTGACCAGCCCATGAAGAATATGGAGACTTGGATGGAGGAAAAAAGTGAACTCAAAAATCCTTTGGAAGACAGACTCAGTACTGGGAAGCAGGTGCTAAGGAAAAGGGAGTGGTGGTGACCTCAGGGGCCAGTCCCAGAGGGCGAAGGAGGCCATGGCTGTATCTGAAGGAAGGCGGAGAGTGCCTGGGAGGTGAGGAGACAGAATCAGAGTAGAGACTACCTCCTTTCAGAGAGACTGGCTGTAAAGAGAGAGGAGACAGGGCAGGGAGACTAGTGCAGGGCAATACTGCAGGGCTAGTCGCAGTAATAACAATTAATAATTTACAAGTGCATACATAGGTAGCTATGTATCAGAACAAGTGTGGGATGGCATAGGGGACCACATCCAAGAGCACATATAGCGCGGCAGGTGGTATTTCCATGTGGAGATGGGGAGACACAGATCACAGGCTTGGGCGTGCTCTCAGGAGGAGCCAGTCACTGGAGAAGACATCACGCTCAGTCAAGCACAGGGCTGATGAAAAAGAGGAAGCTGGAGAGAGTGGCTGTCAGAGTGACTCAAACGAGGGTGGCCCGGGACCTGGCGGCATCTTGTCTGTCGTACGCAGGGTCACGGGGAGTCAGAACTGACCCAACAGCACTCACAGCAGCAGCAGCAACAATAACAGTTCTACAGACGTATGTGTCTGTGGTACAGGTGAATCCAGGCACACGGAAGAGCACACATGGAGTGTAGGCAAACAGCTCAGCCACAATGACACAAGTTGAGGCCTGAGCTATTGAGTCAGAACTGACCCAACAGCACTCACAGCAGCAGCAGCAACAATAACAGTTCTACAGACGTATGTGTCTGTGGTACAGGTGAATCCAGGCACACGGAAGAGCACACATGGAGTGTAGGCAAACAGCTCAGCCACAATGACACAAGTTGAGGCCTGAGCTCCTGGGCTTGAGGCCTCAGGACCCTCGTCTCAAAGGACGTCTAGGTCAGTTGGCACAACACAGTCCATCCAGAGGCCATTCTGCATCCTGTTTTGGTGAGTAGTGACTGGCTGGGACCTTCAAAGGTCCTGAGCAGCCATCTAAGATACAGCTACAGGTGTCTTCCCGCCGGGAGCAAAGAAGATGAAGGAAAAGGACAGTCTGAGGGGTGAATGGACTGCATGCCCCACTGCCCCTACCAGCTGGAGACCAGAGGCGCAGATGGCACCTGGCCACCACTGCCCACAGCTCTGAGTGGGACCCCAACAGGAGGTCCTGGACAGAGTGGGAGAAGAGTGTGGAACCAAATTCAAGATCGTGAAAAAGACCAGGCTGACTGTTCTGCCATGAGACTGGTGGAACCCTGGAGACGATGGTCCTGAGACATGCTTCAAGCCTGGAACGGAACCCTGAACCCACTCCCGGAGATGGCCTTGCAGCCAAAGCGGAGAGAAGCCCATAAAGGGAACACTAACACTCAGGAGGGTGTGCGGCTAGGAACGATCACCCCCGGGAGACGGAAACATGAGGTTCAGAAGGCGGGAAGGGGCAGAATGGGCAAGAGGAACCAGAGAGCACAGGGAAGAAGTGGGGGAGAGTGCCGTCACCGAGGGAATTGGTGCTCAGGTCACTGGACAAAAGCTCCATCGATCATCGATCATCGAAGGGGAAACCAGTGTGATCTGTCAACTTGCACCTGAACCACAATAAAACAGCCAAGGACAATATTGCAGGTCGAATACTATTTTGGAAGCCCAGGCACTGTGTGTGGGCTGCTGGGAGGAGCCAGTGGGGAAGGAGAGGAAGAGGAGAAACCAGAGTTGGGGTGGAGGATGGGCCCCAAGAAGCTGGCATCAAGAGCACCGGAGCAGTCTCAGGCAAGAGAGGGATGGCCCACACTCAGGGCCCGGAGGGTGGATCCGAACGGGACCTACGGAGAGACCCTCGTGGTGTAGGGCAAGATGCTGAGCAAACACGTGCCTGCCGCCTCCTGTCTCCCAGAGGAGTTGGAGACCCAGGCCTGCAGGCTGGGGAAACATGGAGACCAGCTGCCACTGAGAATGAGTGACCAGGGACAAGGAAAAGGATGTCTGATTCCCCACCCCACCCCATGCCACAGTGGAGCCTGGAGGTCACTTGAGTCGAGTGATCAGTCTTTGAGGTCATGTGATCTTCCTACAGTGCCCTCGAATCAGGAGTCATGACTTCAGGTAGCCTTGCTTGGAGGTGGGGCTTCACAGGGGGGGCCAGAGAGTAAGGGAGGCAGTGGACCAGAGGGAGAAGGAGCTGAAGGTGGAAGTCAGTGGGCCTCAAGTGGGGGCCTCATCCTCCCCATTGGGCCAAGCGGGAGAGTAGCCGGAAGGACCTGCTGGAGGTGAAGGCCTTGGGGATGTCTGGAATCCGGTCAGATTGTTCTGGGTCAGAACAAAGGGTGGGCCGTGGGAAAGTGATGAGGAGGGGAAGTTGGGTAAGCAGGAGGCTATGGACAGAAAGGTCATGGGTCCAAAGAAGGGTCAGCCCCCCACCTCCTGCCCCGCCGTGCACGAGGTGTTGTGGCGCAGCCATCCTACCTGCGGGCGGGCCTGCGGCCTTCCCCCTCCCCGAGCCCCCACCATGCCATGGCTCCGGGCAGCAGACTCACCCACCACCGTGAGGTTGACCTGGGCCTGCCTGCTGCCCAGCCTGTTCTCCACCAGCAGGGTGTAGCAGCCACAGTGCTCCTGGCGCGCCGCCAGGATGGTGAGCTTGCTGCCGCCCTCGCCACTCTCCACCCGGATGTGCTCGCTCTCCTGGATCTGCGGGCAAGGGGACGGCATCAGGAAAGAGATGGGGCCCCTGCTCCCGCTTCTCCCCACCTCATCCCATAAGGAGCGCAGCGGGGCATGCAGGGAGGGGCTTGGCCTCTGGGCTTAGCTCTGCATCCAGAGGCAAGTCTCCCCTTGACCAGCCCCATCACCCCCAGCCCCGGGGGTGCTCAGATCTGGGCAGGCAGGGAGGGTGACGAGTGGGTCAGGGTGAACGAATCCAGTTAGCCCTCACTGCTCCCAGAATGTTGTTCGGGAGCGCCCCGTGTCCCCCCAGCCCAGCTGGGCACAGTCACCCACGGCATCTCCACCAGCAGCTCTCAATCTGTGGGTGGCAGCCCCTTTGAGGGTCGGATGACCCTTTCACAGGGCTCACCTGATTCCTAACAGTAGCAAAATGACAGTGATGAAGTAGCAACAAAAATAATGTCATGGCTGGGGGTCACCGCAACATGAGGAACTGTATTCAAGGGTCGCGGCATTCAGAAGGTTGAGAACCACTGCTCTACACCCGGGGGCTGCCTTCTTCTCTGCTGTTGAAGACTGGAGCCACTAGACACCTGCGACCACTGAAGTTTAATGAATGCAGTGGAAACAACCCAAATGCTCATCAGCTGATGAATGGATACCAACACTGAGGCAGATCCAGACAAGGAACTATTACTTGGCCATCCACAAAAAAGGACTAAGGTCCTAATACGCGCTACAACATGGAAGGGCCTTGAAAGCTCATGCTGAATGGAAGAAGCCAGACACGAGGGGCCACACACGGTACAATTCCAGTGACAGGAAGTGTCCGGAAGAGGCAAAGCCATCGAGACAGGAAGCAGATCAGTCATGGATTGCTAGGGCCTGGGGAAACGGGGAAAATGAGAAGTGACCGTGAATGAGGATGGTGTGAGATTTCTTTTTAAGGTGATGACCATGTCTTGGGATCAGAGTGTTGCTAGTTGCATATTTTGGGATTATCCTAAAAATTGCTGAACTGTATATGTTAAAAGGGTGGATTTTACGGTGAGTGAGTTAAGTCTCATAAAGTCAGAATTTTTTAAGTGTATGAAATTAAAGATTCATGTCCTCAGTTGCACTAGACACACCCCACGTGCTTGGTGGCCACCGTGCTGGGCGGCACAGACACGGGACCATCCCCGTCCCTCCTGAGCGTTCCACTGGGAGAGCTAGGATTGGCCAAAGGTCTCTGGAAAGGGAGGTGGTTTCACCCACTGCAGCCAACAGTCTCCCAGTCAGAGCGCAGGGCAAGCGTGTTCGGAATGACCACGGCCAACTTAAGAGATCAGCCCTCCTTGCTGGAGTAGCCTCCCAGGACAGTGTGAACGGCCCAGAAACAGAGAGGACTCAGGGGTGACCACCCTTCTGTAGTGTTCCTGGTCACTGCCAGCCCTGCCACGCCGGGGTCCCCACCAGTCATGCAGATGGGCACAGGCTACCAGGCCATGCCAACAAGAGTCCCGTGGGAATGGCCAGCCTCCCCACGTCTCTTTAAAAGCGGGTTGTTTAGAAAAGTCAGGCTTTTCTTTAAGAATATGACTGTAATTCATACACTGCCCTCTGAGAGGATGGAATGGTCTGGGGAGGGTGTGTGGTGCAAAAGCAGATACAAATGTTTCTCGTTGCTGGGGGTCGCCGGGGGAGGTTTTCTCCCTCCGAAAAGGGGGCAGTAAGCCAAATCAGTCTGGGGACCGATGATATAAATGGTAGTGGGCCCATATTCCAGTTTCTATCTAACATATGAAGTATCCCTTCAAAAACTCAGATTCACTTTTGATTCCTCCAGCGTGGGCTCCCAGGGGCAGTGCTCAGTGGTTGGTTTTCCTGACTCTGAAGCAGGTGTTCGCGCGGGGTATCAGAGTCAGATGGGATGGGGGCCCTCCTTCCTCCTCCACAGCTGGCTCAAGTCTACCAATGACCGGCCTACAAAGCGTGTACCCTTCATGGATTTAGAAAAAAGGTGACTAAGAAATCAGGTCGGATAGGTGGATGATGGGTGGGTGAGGGGTCCCTCCTATCTCTACGGCCCATGATTTGGGCTTGGTTGTCCCCATCCTGGACCAGCTTGGTGCTCTTAGCCCCGAACTGTGCTAGCTGCTCTCAGATGACCACCTTCTGTTACTGACCTTCTTTCGGAACTTCATCCAGGTGCAGGTGATGGGCTGGGTGCCCGCTACCTTGCCAAACAGCTCCACGGACTCGCCGGCGCGCACCTTTTGGTCCTCTGGGAAGTGGGTGATCTGCGGGGGCATGGCTGAGGGAGAACCAAGAAGAGAGTGAGGGCGTGCGGGCTGGGGGCAAGGCTCAGACACGCTGATCTCACTTGACGCCACTGTCCCCGTGGGTCTGTGACTCTGCTTTCTGAGTCAGGCGGAAAGCAGCAGACGGGACAGCACTAGGCTCAGAGTGGACTCAGAGTGGGCGGGCTCACCAGGCTTGCCCCAGTTCCCTCAGAAGCGACCATGCATTTACAGGTCAGCATTCTCCACTCAGTCATTTCTCTGGCGTGTGTGATTTGCCCTAATTTTCTCAACCTGTGTTCTAACGCTTTCGTTCATCAAAGCGGAGCTTTGTCTTCCAACCTCCAGGTCAACTTGGCAAAAAAGACTCAAGCTAGTGGCTCACATAGTCACATGTCTTCCCATGGAAAACAGACAGGGGTCCCGCAGGAAATACAAGAACAGAAACGGGATAGCTGTCACTGAACGGGCTCGCATGTCAGAGCGGCACTGGGCTCCAGAGGGTTTTCACTGGCTGACTTTTGGAGGCAGATCGCCAGGCCTTTCTTCCGAGGCACCTCTGGGTGGACCCAAACCTCCAACCTTCCGGTTTTCAGCAGAGCGTGTTAACCCTCCACATCACCCCGACCATTAAAAAACGGCACGAGGTAGATCCTACACACGTGGGGCAGCGTGGAGGACAGAGGGCTGGTCAGACTTTCGGAAAAGGGATGGGAATGTGACTGGTTTTGCGTGAAGTTCTCCAAAAGGTAGGAAGGGAAGTCCGTCCTGGAAGTGGGTGGGGGGCCAGGTGGTGCCGAGGCTCATGGAGAGAGCAGGCGGCTCTGGCCCGAACGGTGCCGAGCTTGAACCCGGAGGGGTGGTGACCACTGGGCTCACACCGCCAGTCGCCGGGCCGGTAGGGACAGGGAGCTCGCTCGTGCAGGCCTCCAGATGCTGCCAGGCTGTTACCTGCTTTGGTGGACGACTTGGGGGCAGGTTTCTTTTTCACAGTTGCGTCACCTGAAACAGAGATGTTGACGAGTGACTCTCCTTTTCACCCCACCAAGTGGGGGCACCCTAGAGAGAGCGTCCTGCCCACCGCCCCCCGCCTGCGGGAAAGACCATTCTAGTATCTTTCCGGAGAGGCGGGCCAGCTCAGGATCAAGACTGGTTCTTGAGAGGACCTCGGGGAGGGTCCTGGAGCGGCCACGAGGGCACTCAAAGAAGCCTTCGCCCGGAGAGAGACCCAGCCTCCCTCACTGCTCTCCTGCCTGGTTTTCAGAAAAGGAGCTAGCGCAGAGAGACCAACGAGAGAAGCACCAAAGGTCTCTCTCCACCCTCCACTTCCTCCAAGTAGCCCAAATGGGGACGGTGGGGTGAGGGGTGCAGGGAGGAGGGGGATGGCCCAGAAAGTAGAAGGAGCTGCGAGAGGGAAGATAGAAAAATATCCTCACATAGTGAATGATGGGGGGAATGCAGAGTGAAGACCCAAAGCCCATGAGTAGGCCACTGGAGATGCCCTTGCAGAGGGGTCTCAGGGAGGAGACGAGCCAGTCAGGGTGCGATGTAACAACGATGAAAAATACAACTTTCCTCTAGTTCCTAAATGTTTCCTCCCTGCTCCCACTACCACTATCATGACATGAATTCTACCTTGCAAGTCTGGCTAGACCAGAGGATGGACACCGGTACAGATAGGAACTGGAAATACAGGAAAGCCAGGGCGGATGATCCCTACAGGACCAGTGGTGTGAGTGGCGATACTGAGAGGGTAGAGGGAGAGTGGGTTGGAAAGAGGGAACTGATTACAAGGAACTATATGTGACCTCCACCCTGGGAGACGGACAACAGAAAAGTGGGTAAAGGGAGACATCGGACAGGGCAAGATATGACAAAATAACAATTTATAAATTATCAAGGGCTCATGAGGGAGGGGGGAGCGGGGAGGGAGGGGAAAAATGAGGACCTGATGCCGGGGGCTTAAGTGGAGAGGATATGTTTTGAGAATGATGAGGGCAATGAATGTACAAATGCGCTTTACACAATTGATGTATGTATGGATGGTGATAAGAGTTGTATGAGCCCCTAATAAAATGATTTTTTTTTAAAAAAGAAAAATATCCTCAGCTAGCCTCCTGGCTCACTTTGCCCCTTCTTTAAGGACTTGGCTCAAATGACATCAGTGCTCGTTATATCATCTGTTGTCAATTTGAGACTTAAGAGTGAGGAGTGGTCTCTAGCCTGTCAATCAGCTTGCAGCTTGATGACCTCATTTGGAGCCGCTGAGGAGATAAATAGGTCGCTGGAGGCGGGACACTCACTCACTCCTTATGAGACACACTGGCTGATAAGTCACATGGAGCTATGCTAGAGCCCTGGAGCTGGAGGAGCCAGTGCTGAGATGCTTCCACTGCCACTGGATCCACAAGACTTTCCACCCACTGGCTGTGATCTTCCTGCATTCAGCACCATTGCATGTGTTGTGTGAGTCTGAAGAGGAATTTATAGATTGGTATTGGACATATGGGCTAACATCAGACTTATGGGTTTGATCTGGACTGGGATGTTTTCTCCATATTCAGTTGCTCTTGTGTATAAAGCTATTTCTTATACAACATATGAATGTCTCTGGATTTTTTCTCTAGTCTACCTGGACTAGCACACCATCTAACCTGTTTGCCTAAGTGAAATAAAAACTCACGTCCCCGAAACCGCTGTTTGCAATTGCTTAGCATAACTTTCATTGGAATTGCCCTGAATGGGAAGGGAGCCAAATATCTCGCAACTGGCAAACAGGTGGACAAACTGGTGGGTCCACACAACGGACCCTCACGCAAGGACTAAGCCACCCATACGCGCACAGTGGGGGTCGCCTGTACATACACTGTTCTAAGGAAGTCACACTCAAAAGGCTCCCTCTTGGATCATTCCATTTTGATCACTTTCTGGAGAAAGCACTGTGGTAGGTCAGAGAGTACAGTAGTGGCTACCAAACGGAGATGGGGGTCAGGCTCACTACCAAGGGGCATGGGGAGTTACTTGGGGTGACTGTCATGGGAGATACTTGATGACGCATGCTATACGCTTGTCACAAGGCTTACACACGGTGCACTAAAAAGGTAGATGTTGCTGTATGTAACTGATACCCCAATACCAGAAAGAAATGACAAATGGTCACCACACCAATGAGCTGTTCCCTGACCACCCAACATGCCCACTGTCCCTATCCCACTTCTTCTCACCACATGGCAAACTGCCCACACACTGTTTGCCTACTGTCCGCCCATCCCCACTACCAAAGTGCAAGATTTGGAGGGAAGGGGCATTTTTTGTTCACTGCCGATTCCCAGTGTGCCCCCCTATGACTCCCCCACACACCAGAGAAGGATTCGGTAACTGTTGACTGGAGGAGGGGGGCTAGTATTCACCCGCCCACCTTCAATTCTGCAGGGTGGTGGGGCACTGGCTGGGCATGGAGTGCTCTGTGACATCTTGTGAGATGCCATCTTTAGATGATTAGCTGTACACCTGTGGTCCAGGATCAGCGGCCCATTTCCCTTCAAACAGAAAGGGTCCTGCTACCACCCGGACTGCCCTCCAAAGGACTGTTGTCAGGAGGGGTCCCTGATGGAAGTACCTTGAGGTCACAGAGCTGTTACTAATTGTGTGTCTTAGCTCAAGGTGAAGTCTGTTCGCACCGAGTTCTCCCAGGCAGGTGCCACGACCGAGCCATCCGTCCAGCTCACAGAGCGATGTCAAGGGCTGACCTTGAGGAGTCCTGGTCATGTAACGGTGCGGCGTTAGACTGTGAACTGTATGGCCATAGTCACACTCATCGTCTTTCAAGTGCTCAATAGCCTGGTGTGGTCAGTGGCTACCTGAGTGGACAGAACAGTAGAGAATGCTGCCCGTGCACAAAGTCCTGTTGATCTAGGATGCTGAGTGTGGGGCAGAGGCATTTGCCCGAGAGAACTGGGAGTTCTCACTCGGACAGTCGTCAGGCTGGGTAGAGGGGCTCTACAGGTCTGTCTAATTCTTGGGGGGTTGGTAAGCAAAGAGGAGGCTCTCGCTATCATCTTGGGAGGTACCCATCCAGGGGCAGACTTGGTAAAGGCAGTGGAGAGGCGGGTAAGGGCCAAGCAAGCAGGAGGTGCAGAGAATACTTTGAGATTTCTTGCTTGGGTAAACGGGGATAGTCTTATTGATGAATACATGGAATTTGGGAGTGAAAGATGAGGAGCTTGGCTTTCATCTGGTGAATTGGTTAGATGAGAGAAGTTGGTGTGTATGTAGGCTAGAAGCCCAGAATAGGAATTTCAGAGGAAGCTGGGGGAGGCTAGAAATGAAAGATTTCAGACTTGAATATGGAATGGTAGTGGACATTTGGGGGAGAGGTCCATTCTTTAGGGGAAAAGAACACAACCCCAAGTTGGGTCGGGTCCAAGGACCCTTCCAGGTGATGCCCACAGTGAGCAGCTGGGATGAAGGCGAGGGAGAGAGGTCAGGTTTGAAAGCAGAAGGCCAGGGCTTAGGAACGAGGAAGAACTCGAAGATGCCGGAAGAGGAGAAGACAGTGGAGGGAAAGCCAGCTCTCTTGGGAGTAGAGAAGGGATGGGTTATGGGAATGGCTGAGCCCCGAAATCTCTGCCCTTCTCCCCCCAGCCCCCCAGAGAAGGCGCATCTGTGGAGAGAGGGGTCCTCAAGGGCAGGAAAATGCGTTCCTTCCAGAGGCAGGGTCCGAGCTCCTCTGGGGAGAGAAGGCCGTCTTCAAGGAGCTGGGTGGAGGGCTTCCAGTGGGCTGGGCTAGGGGACCAGGGATGGGAAGAGTTGACCGTCTCTCGGTAGTGAGCTCGGGGGTTTTAAGATGACAAGGCCGGAAGCTGCCCAGCACTAAATCAGATGAATTCAAACTCCTGCCCTCACCTGGAGGTTGTGAGTGACCCTGCATGGCTAGAAACAGAGCCCAAACTGACACCTATCTTTCCGTGCAGTGGGTCAATAATACTGAAGACCACTTAGTGCTGAGATAGGAGACGGACACTGGGCCTCGACTCAAGTACTCCCTCAATGCAAAAACACTTTGCTCTAATAATCTGGCATTCTGTGATGCTCACCTTCCTGACATGATCACTGAAGACAAAGTGGGTTCATAAGCAAATGTGGTGAAGAAAGCAGATGGTGCCCGGTTATCAAAAGATATAGTGTCTGGGGTCTTAAAGGCTTAAAGATAAACAAGCGGCCACCTAGCTCAGGAGCAACAAAGCCCACATGGAAGAAGCACATCAGCCTGTGTGATCACGAGGTCAGGTATCAGGATCAGGTATCAGGCATCAAAGATCCAGAACAAAAAAATCATATCATTGTGAATTATGGGGAATGTGGAGTGGAGACCCAAAGCCCACCTTTAGACAATTGGACACCCCCTTACAGAAGGGTCACGGGGAGGAGACGAGCCAGACAGGGTGCAGCATAGCACCAATGAAACATACAACTTTCCTCCAGTTCTTTAATGCTTCCTCATCCCACTATCATGATCCCAACTCTACCTTACAAATCCAGCTAGACTAGAGCATGTACGCAGGTACAGATAAGAGCTGGAAACACAGGGAATCCAGGACAGATAAACCCCTCAGGACCAATAATGAGAGTAGCCATACCAGGAGAGTAAGGGGAAGGTGGGGCGGGGGGAGAAAGGGGGAACCAATCGCAATGATATACATATAATCCCCTCCCTGGGGTATGAACAACAGAAAAGTGGGTGAAGGGAGACATTGGTCAGTGTAAGACATGAAAAAAAAAAAATTATCAACGGTTCATGAGGGAGGGGGTGAGGAGGGAGGGAAAAATGAGGAGCTGATATCAAGGGATCAAGTAGAAAGAAAATGTTTTGAGAATGATGATGGCAACAAATGTACAAATGTGCTTGACACAATGGATGGATGGATGGATGGATGGATTGTGGTAAGAATTGTACGAGCCCCCAATAAAATGATTTTAAAAAAAGACTGAAGCCCACATTT